GTTCAATTCAAAGAGATAAAATAAGGAAGTTGATGTCTGAGACATTCTTTTCCATGTGAAATTTGCTAAGCTTAATTTTTTAATCATCCAAAAATAAAACTTTGATCACTTATCAAATCTTTTAATTATCTAGAAAATTCTAACTACAAAAATTTATTTATTTTGAATTTATTTATAATTACTCCAAATGTAGGGATTTTATCAGAATTGCTCTCGTAGGAGTGATTTCTAACCCTAAAATTTTCTAAATAGTCCTCATCGTTGATTTCTCTACCAATTTAACTGTAAATAAGTGTTTGTTGCCCTCAGCTTCATAAACAATGTTATGAGGTGACTTATGAGTTAGTTTTAAGAAATTCTTAGAAGTGATGGTAGTAATGGTTGAAGATAAAATTTTGTAAAGGTAGACCATGGAGGACTTAAATTATTAAACTCGTTAGAGGACTCGCTATCAAGTCACTCTTATCTCATAGAGAGAAAACAAATTTGGGAGAAATCGCGCCTATAGTGTGTATAGAAAGATATCAATAGAGAGTTGATTGCAGAATCTTTGAAAAATTCTTTGAATGAAACTAAGACCAGAGTTAATATAAAAAATCTTTTAAGGAGAATTGATAATGGAACGTCTCCTGAAACCCTATTCATTTTTAAGTGAATGGGTTGAAATACAAAGATCACAGATATGGGATAGGATCTAAACACTTAGATAGGTTTGATAGACCCATAAAGAAACTGTTAGAAGGGCGTATAATTCAACTCATCTCAATAGATGGAGAAATGAACAAATCCCTAATGGAGTAGCTAGGAAAATGACCATGGTGGGGGCTTTGTGTAACCACACACCATAAAACTTTTTAAATGAATTATATCTAGATTATTGAGTACAAGGTTTTGAAGAATAATATATCTTCAAAAAAAAAGGACTTAACCACCCGAATGATGAAAGCCTTCGTCAGTCTACGGAACCATGTTTTTCTCACTTACCAACAGGTGTAAGATAAAATTTATTTTAATTCTGGGGTTTTGTTCCCTATAAGGGTAGGCCCTCATAGCTAATTACATCCTTAAAGCCATGAACTTTAAAGAAAACTCTCGATTAATGTAATGAGTCAAATTTTTAGAGATCAAACTTTCATAATTGGAGTGATTGAAAGTAATTTGAGGGTCCAAATTAGAAGAAATAAGTTCAAAGAGAAGAGATATATAGACTGATGACAACATGTCATGGGAAAAGCCTAAGGAAGATATAGGACAAAGTTAGGAGAGTGACAATTGAAAGGTTTGAAAGGGACTAATGATGAGTTTGAATTGATCAAGTGAAGTTAAGAGATAAATCAGGGATATTGGATTTGACCGACATAAATGATTGGAAACCCTAGGATAAGGATAAAGTCAGATAGAGAAGGAGTTTTATATGAGAGACCCTAGACTATATATGGAATTCTAAGGGTGGACTAACTTATAGTTTGGGAATAACTAACTTCCTCAGTCAAGGTGCTCATGACTTTCTGTTGTCCCATGAACATTAATATCCTTTGACCACTACAGGCCTCATAAACAAGAATCCCTCATAAGTGTCATAGCATGGAGGGTTCATAGTTTCAAAATTATTTAAAATACCTTCATGAGAAACCAAGAGTTACTTCATTCTAAGATATTTCCTATAGTCTCAGAGGGCAGGTTTGTTGCTTTGTATGTCCTAGTCCTTAACACTAATTAGGGTACCTAATAAACTAACCTAAACTTATATACTCAGACTAACCTGGGGAAGAGTGTGGCCCTCAGTTTGGTGTCTAAGTTAGTTAACCTAAGGTTCATGTCAAATCTATCTTGGTTCTATTCTCATTCTTTATTTTAGTGTATTTTAGATATTTATTTGAAATTAAATATTACAATTTTTGTTTTTTTTTAATTCTTAGGTTCATTAATCATGTTGAGATCAAATTTTTTTCTAAGTTTTGAGTTTGTTTTGCTTGAGGTTAGGTTTTTAACGTTTATAGAGAAAATCGAGAAGGTTTATCCTTAATTTTATTTTATGTATTTTCTTTTCTTATTTCTACTTGGTTTTTGAAGATATAATAACATATGAAATGAAACAAGAAAATAACACACATATACTTAGTCTTTGATTAGACTTAGGCTATGGTTGAGCTAAGGTAAGCTAAATTTCTAGCTTAAGTTAGCTTAAGATTGAGCTAAGGCGTTATACAAATCAACTGTTTTATGTTAGGGCTGGGCTAGAGTTGATTTGGGTTAATTTTTGGTTGACCTGGATTAAGGTGGGTTGACCCAACTTGAGTTGGGTTTGATTTAGTTTAAAGCGGTTTAAGCTGGGTTGACCTGGGTTGGTTCAGGTCTTGTTTGTGTCAGCCGTTGGTTAGGTTAAGGGTTTGATTTAAGTTTAGACTTGGGTTGGGTTAGTTATAAGTTGAATCAGACCCAGATTAGGTTTAGGGTTTAAGTTAGGTTAGTCTTGAGTTATGCCAGTTCTGGGTTGGGTTAGACCAAGATTAGATTCGTGGTTTAGGTTAGAGTTAGACATGGGTTTGGTTAGGTCTAAGTTAGGTCAGGTCTGGGTTAGAACAAACCTAGGTTAGGTTTAGGGTTTAAGTTAGGTTAGACCTGGGTTGGGTCAGGTATGGGATGAGTCAGATCTAGGTTAGGTTTAGTTTTTGGGTTAGGGTTTGGATTAGAATGGGATTGGTTTAGATTAGGTTTTTGGGTTAGGGTTTGGTTTAGATTAAGTGAGTTAGGGTTATACTGGGTGTGGGACAACCTGAGTCTAGCCCGAACCTAAGCCTAATCTAAGGCAATTATGTTGACTAATTTAACCAAATATTAACTTAGAAAAATTTATATTAATGCTTAAAAGAGAGAATGGGAGAAGCTTACCACATAGGGGGTTGGTCGGAAGTGATGAAATACATTGGAAATCTTTTCCACTATGTTTCCTATGCTCAAGACTGAAGTAGAGTGGAGGAGTGTGCCTTTGTAAATCTACTAATGTCAATGTTTTAGAGAGCGTCAAAGACAATCTATTTAAAGGTTGGGACGACGTTGGTATAGCACTCTATGGTCATCTGATTATATGACAGATCGATGACTGCAATGAATTAGATGGTTGGAAGAGCCACAGATCGCCACTGGCAAAACACTGCAACTTTTCGTTCTCTAATTCATGGATGAAGGCCACAGATCGATAGTGTGTCATTTGGAGTGGTCACTCAAGATGTAACTAGGTGTGGTCACGCCCAGGACTAGCGTGACCACGCTGAGAAGCTTTTGGGCATTTTTATGCCTAGGTGAGGCGTGGCTATGCAGGGTACTTCTGGGTGTGGTCAGGCTCATTCCTAGTGTGATCACATCAGGCCATAAATGTGCAGGTATAGTTTTTTGGCCAATGTGGTAGCATCATAACAAATGGTGATGTTCGTGCAAGTTTTGTGTGACAAAAAATGATGCCAATAGATATCTTTACTGGGGTTGCTATACCAAAAATTTAGGCTATTACACATATTTAGTCTCCTTATAGTGTCCAAATTCACCTTAGGGTTAAGATCTCAACTTTCATCTAGAAATCATTTCATATAATATTGTCTCTTTAGTTTAGGTCTGAAGAGCTTCAAGAAAATCTTTTCAAATCAAACCCCTAAAACTGAGATCACTCAACTCAATCACAAATATAAATCCTTCAAATAAACACGTCAAATCAAAATTTCAAATTAAACTTTTAAAACTTCAAACCAAATCAAACTTTTAACCAAATTCAACCTTCAAATTAGTTCAAACTCCAAACCTTTAGACCTTTTTTCAAACCTTCAAAACTTCAAAATTTCAAATCTTTTTTCAAACTTCAAACCTTCTTAAACTCCAAACCAAACTGTCCAAATTTCAATCCATTTTCAAACTTCAAGTCAACCCTTCTAATCTTTTCAAACCTCAAACCTTTTTGAAAATGCCCGAATACTGCTTTGCATTTCAATGTTTTTCTTCCTTGCTTTTTTGCATTTAAAAAACAGTGAAAAAAAAAATCTTTGATGTGGGACTAAATGCTGAAATGAGTAAACAGTATACATCGTGGTAGGCTGAGGCTGAGCGAGTCCATGGGGTAGGATTTTGTAAAAAATTTAAGCGCATTTACATACATAACTCTAAATTCTTATGTATTTACATTTTCATGGGAATTTTCCATGGAAATTTACGTACAATTTTTATGTATTCATATACTAAATGCTGAAAATAAAGGCGGAGAGGTGGGAAGTTTTCCAAGGTAACTCCCAATTCTTATGTATTCATATATCTAACACTAATATTTATATTTTTAAAATTATCCCCCCCAAATAATTATTAAAAATAATAAAATTTAGTATTTTTTAAATAAATTATAAATAATTTATATAAAAATGATATAAATAAATGTTATTATTTAATTTTTTAATTCTTTCAAGCTAAGTTGACCTAAGCAGGAACGAACAAATTTATGTTCGTGTTTGGATCGTTCATAAATTAAGCTAAAAAAATATTTGTATTTTACTCTCTTATTTAATCAACAAATCAAACACAACTTACTCAAAAGCCGAACAGGAACCGTTATAAGTAAAGAGTTTTTTTTATCGCAGTCTATAAATATTATAGTGTATTAATTTTATTTTAAGGGACTATTTGAGACAGCTACAGCTATTTGAAGAAAAACCTTATAACAGTAATTAAATAAACTATGATAATTATTAAAAATTTATCTTAATTTTAAAAATTTAGATCATAAGTTTCTGACAAACAACATAATTTAACAAATTAAATTAAGAAAAAATAACTTCCCAACATAAAATTTTTAAAAAAATAATAAAAAAATAACACATCAATTAAAAATGTGAGGAGTCTCAAAAATAAAAATAAAAAATTTATCACATCCCGAATAAATCACCGTGTACAAAATAATTGCAACGAGCCGAGGAGGCTCAGCCTAATACTATGGACGTGGCACTCTTATCCTTCTCCCGGATCTCCATCTTTAATTATGGACTTTGAAAAACATTTCGCTTTTTCCTCAGCATATCCGAGGCATTTTCTTTTTCAGGCAAACTTTCCACGTCCACTTTTGATGCAGAAATCGGAACCCTGGTTTACACTGGAATCAGGAGAAGCGACGGGATTTCTCTTCTCTCCACCTGATTGATTTATAATTTAGGGTTTACTTAATTGGTTTAAGCGAGGATTTTTGGTTGTTCAATGGACTGTTACGGCTGGTTAAAGGTAGGAACCGTCGTCGACGTTCTGCCCGCGGTGGCGAAGGTGAGAAGAGATGGTCTTCTTGCTCGTCCGAGCTCCTCTCAAACATTCGGGTTTTCCCGTCCCTTGTATTTCAAGGTTGGTGAAATCTATCCGGATCTTTTTCTATCTATTTATCCTGATGCTTTAGGTTATGAGCTCGGTGGTAGATAGATTTGATCTCTGAATTGTTATTCTCGGTAACTTGTACATCGATGCTTCACGTAACCTGTTTTTTAGTTAAATGTTTCTCCAGGATTTTGAAGTTCGTATTATTTGCTAAGTAGGATAAAATTATTGGCTTGTTGTTATATAAACTCTTGTTTTGACCTTATTCTTTGGACTCTTTTATGCTGGGATAGAATTATTGGCTTTTTGTTATATAAACTCTTGTTTTGGCCTTATTCTTTGGACTCTTTTATGCTGAGTTTGCTTTAATTTCTATGATTTTGTTGTTGTCTTGATAGATGTATTTTGTTTGCTTTCGCAACGAGAAGTGTGGTTTTAGAACTGCTGTAGCAGCGATATATACGCAAAAAAAGAGCTGAGCGGAGAAAACTTTTATTGACGTGAACGCAAATGGCGCAGAACCGCAAGTGGGCAACACATCACAAAAACCGCATAGTGCTCGAAGGACCCAGATCTGGCTGAAGGATCACCATTTCGAGAAATTTAGAAGTGGGCGAAAGTGGGTTAATTTAATAAGAAGTGTTTTTAAATTTTTTTTTCTAAGTTTGTTAAGTAGTGTAGAGGTACTATTCTGTAGCTTAGTGAGCTGTTTAACATTGTTTAGCTTTCAGGACGCTTGGTAGCATTCAACGGAGTATGTGGAGTAAAAACAAAATGAAAAACTGCTTAAAAAAGACATTGTCTAGGAAAGTCTTAGCTCTCATGTATTTTTTACCCTTGTAATTCTAAAAAAGTGGGCATCAATAAGAAAACAATGAGCATAAGTTCTCTTATTCTTGGATTGATAAATGTCAATCTTTATCACTAAGACAAACTACTTTTTAAGATAGAACTTAGGTGTGGATAATGCCATATAATGATTAAAGGTCGGAGATTAGTGAAATGCTACCTTAAAGATCTTAGACAATCTCTATGAGGGATTATTCATGCCCTTTGGCTTGTCCAATGCCCTTAATAGCTTTGTGAAACTGAGAAATATTAATCTAAAGCCAGAATTTTTTGCAATATATTTGAACTGTATTTCTATTTTTAGTTCTGATGAGTATTTTAATTTCGAGCACTTTATGTTGTTTTTGAGACAATAGAAAGAAAAATCTTTATATAATCCTCAATAAGTGTTTCTTTCCGCAGACATAATTGATACTCTTAGTGTTCATTGTATTTACATTTTCCTTAAACGCCATCCTTTTTAGGTTAAAGCAATCCTAGGCTGATCCAACCTAATTAGTTTCATTGTGGTTAGCAGTTTTCAATTTTTAGCTATCTTCTATGGGAGATTCATTGAGAAATTTAGTGTAATTGTTGCTCTTGTCAATGACATTTTAAAGTAGTAATTTGCGTTGACCCTTGGTGTGTAGACAGCATTCAAGATTTGCAGTAGTAGCCAGACTCATTTATTTTTTAATTGTATTGGATGTATAACGTGATTCATTCCGGATTAATAGAGATAGCATCTTGAACTAAAAAAATCATCTAGTAACCTTCTATAGTAATTAAGAATTTGAATGAAGCAAAATAAAAGTACTTTATCTATTATTGAGAGTTTTGTCATTATCTATTCCTTAAAACATTTTGGCTATTATATATTGCATTAAGAATTATTTTTACATAGTGATCATTATGTTTTGAAATTTAAAAAGACGCAATCTCTAAGTTAAGTTGTAGGTTTGCCAAGTGGGAAGAGTTTCGACAGGATTTTTCTCTTGACTTGAAAAAAAGTCCGGGAAATATAAGAAATCTGCAAACGCTTTACGTAAAATGAGTTTAGTGTCATCATTATTAGAATATTTTAAATTCTTGATATAGGTCCACTTTTTCACATCATTCGCTCAAACATCTAAACCATTATTAGCATTACAATGATTTTTTTAAAATTATGGTTACATATATAAGGGGAGTATATATTTATTTATAAATCATTATTTAGGGAGTTTTCTTATAGATTAGCTGTATTTTAGCGGTATTGTAGTCTATTTTGCACATTAAAAGATAATAGATTGGACAAAGTCTAAATTTTAGTGGTCCAGTGTTACATTTGCAAGAAGTCAAGGCCACTAAACACGTTTATGAAAGCACATGGCATTGATCATTCCTTATGGACCTTTGGAGTAATTTTTATTAATTTTAACTTAACGTTGACTTGGATTGCAAGAGAGCTTGATAGTTGTTAGATTTTTCAAAATGGCATATTTTTTATCTGTCTCAAAGATATGATTCATCAAACACAGTAGTTTTACTACAGGGAGATAATGAAATTGCATTTCTTTCCATTTCTTATGGTGTCAAAAAGAGATGTGGGATTTATTTTTTATTTTTGAAGGATATTGTGGAAGATGTTGGGCACATAATTAAATTTTAAACTCCCTTCACCCTAAGACTAATGGGCGGGCTGAAGTTATTAACATGATACTTGGAAATTTATTGAGATGCTTATTTAAAAAAAAGTATGGAAACTAGAATATTCATTACACACAGTAGTATTATCTCTACAATTATAAAGAAATCAACTTTCAAAGTAGTTTATGAACAAAATCTAGAAACCCATTGATGTGTTTGACATTCCTAATCATATATTTTATAATTTTGGTTTTACATTCTTAAAACATTTTGAAATTATCTATATTGATATGCGGTAACTAATAGCTAAAATTAGTGTATATGGTGGTAAAAAGGCAATCACAGTCGTTCTTGAAAAATGAAAAAGAAAAGGGTGATTATATATTGCTTGTATTCGATTGGAGTGATGCTCAACCTTAAAGCATAAGAAATCACCAGCTAGGGTTTACGGCCATTTCAAAATGTTAGAAACTTTTTTGTGCCGTATTGATTTGCCATTTGATACATTAATTAATATAATTTTCAATATTGTGGATATTGTTACACATAAATGAGTTAATCCGTCTCCAAATATTGCAATGATTCTTTTAGCATTAGATTTGTCTCTCAATTATTGGATAAAATATTACATCCGAAGTTTGGACGTAGATTAACATCCAAACTTCAATAGTGTTTATACACATGGTTGTTCAGCTAGACCCACACTTCAGCAGACAAAAAAAGTGATATTTGGTAATGTGCGGATCTCGACTTGAAACGAGCCCGAAATCAAGTGAGCTATTCAAATACTTGCGATCAACTTTTATTTTCTCTTCACGTTATAGGGTTTTTTGCTTAGGGCTTGCTGTTTAGGGTTTGCAGATAACTCTCACTGAGTTTCCGAATGAGCTTAGGGTTTTCAAATGAGTTTCACAAAGTGCAGCACTCTCCAGCACAATTGATAAGGTAAGTTGGCCGATCTTTATTAAAGAGATTTCAAACGGGTTTACAAGTTTCTGCTAAACTCTTGGTTTTCTATTTCCAACCTGCTAGCAAATTTAGGTTGGCGCTTATAAATTTTACAAAATTCTATATAACATCTAAAGGTATTTAAATTGTTATAATTCATGATTTGACATATTCCTAGTTTTATGCTGTAAATGCAAAAATTAATTATTAGGGTTTTCACGTTAAGAATCACAGTTCATTATCTTTTTCCATTTTCTATTCTGTCACTTTAGGTAAGGAGTGTTACATTTCAATGAATTTCACGACTCTATTATTCACTTAGAATTTCTCTAAAGATAATGAATTATTAGCTTTAAAAAAGTTACAAGATTCAGTTGAAGATGCTAGTTCAGTAGTTCATTTGCATCTATCTTTTATTTTTCTCCAATTGTTTTTTTATGATTTGAGTTATTCCGTTGGTATGTATGGTATCTTATAGTAGTATTTGAGGGAGGGAGTATCCATTCATTTATTGTTGCTTGTATGATGCTCTATAATATTGCTGTTGTTTGAATTTAACCATAAAGCCAAAAGTTAATTTAAACAACATTTTGAAACTTTTTTCCTATTTTTATATTGAAACTTTCTATTTTTTGTGGCCCAGCGAGTGTTTAGATTCTGTGAAAGCAACAATTTTTCCAATCATAGACTACCATCATTGTTTACCCTGGCAAGGGTGGAGTCTAATGAGTCCGACTATAGAAGTTTGGGCACTCCGCTTGAGTTATACACACCTGAGGGGAAGTTTTTGTGTGATATATTAAAGAATCAGCCACATATTTTTCAAGCTGCTGTTCAAAAGCAGCTGGAGGAGTTGGCTTTTGACAGGGAGAGTGCATTTGCTCGGTGGGAAATTAGTCAAGGATCTTCTGAGTCCAGTCTTCATGGGTTAGTTTGTTTCTCTCATAAATTCTTAACAGCGCTTTTTTTGGCTGAAATTTCTATCAATAGTGCTTTCAAAAGTAATTATTTCTCTAACCTATAATGATTAGTATGTATGTTGGCTCACAGCATGGGCATAAAAGCCCATGTCCATAACCTTGCATATGAATTATTCTCAACTTACGGTGATTGTTTTACTCTTTTTTCAATATTTTTTGTTGAGTACAGTGTTACATGTCGTTTCTATGAACTGCCTAGTTAAAACTCTTTTTCAGTTGTTATTGTAGAAAGGTGGAGAAAAATCATAATCTCTTATTTCTCAATAATTAAATTACAACTCTTCTTCTTATATAATAAGGAATGGCTAGGGCAAGATTAATTACAATAATTACAACTTATTGAAGAAAATATAGTTTTAAAAGGAAATAAATATGACATAATAAGGTTGGAATAAAGCTAAAATAGGAAACTCAGAATTTCTTATTTTCCCTCAAGCTTTGTCATAGATGTTGTAAAGACCGAGCTCGGTATTCGGATCAGTGAAGCTGCCTAAAGGTAGAGATTTAATGAAGACATCGACAACATGAAGATGTGTTGGAATGTAGATTAAGTGAATAATGCCTCTATTGACCTTTTCAGAGATACAATGACTATCGATCTCAATGTGCTTGGTCATCTCATAATGCGCAGGATTCTTTGCAATACTAATTATGGCCTGACTGTCAAAGAACATGTTTATGAGATTGGCAGTAGAGTATCTTAACTCATTTGATAACTTTTGGATCAACATTTCTTCACAAATTCCCAAAACAAATGTCCAATACTCAAACTCTGCACTACTTATAGAGATTGTTGCTTGCTTGTTGCTGCTCGAAGTGACAAGATTTTGCCATACATAAGAACATTACAAAGAAATGGACTTTCCGTCCATGAGTATTACAAAGAAATGGACTTTCTGTCCATGAGTTTTCTTGCCCAACCAACATCGTTGTAAACCTCTGCATCCATCTTGTCGGATCTCTTAAACAGTAACTCCTGTTAGGTGTCTTCTTAAAATACTTCAATATTTTGTAAACTATCTCCAAATGTTATTCATTAAGACTATTCATATATTGACTCATAATACCGACTAGTAAACAATATCAAGTATAGTGTGTGATAGGTAGATGAGCTCATCCACTAGTATCTGGTATCTACCATTTTTCACTTGTGTCTTTTCTCCTTTCGAAAGTAATTTTTTGCTGAAATTTATACCAGCATTTGTCTCATTTAATAGGTCTAGAATGTATTTTCCTTGGTATATCACAATACCTATCTTGAACCTGATTACTGCCATGTGCAAAAAGTATCTCCTTGCTCCTAAATCCTTAATTTCACACTTCAATATTATGTAAACTATCTCCAAATGTTCTTCATTCAGACTATTCATATGTTGACTCTTAATGTCGACTAGTAAACAATATCAGATCTAGTGTGTGATAGGTAGATCGGCTTACCCACTAGTATCTTTTTCACTGGTGTCTTTTCTCCCCCTGAAAGTAATTTTTTATTGAAATTTATGGGGTTTCAGTAGCACCAACATTTCTATCTCATTTAGTAGGTCTTGAATTTATTTGTCTTGAATTTATTTTCTTTGGTATATCACAATGTCCATCTTTGACATGGTTACTTCCATGCCTAAAAAGTATTTACTTGCTCCTAAATCCTTAATTTCAAACTCAGTGACAAGAACCTCAATCTTCACAACCTATCAAGGTCATATTTTTTTAAACAGACAATAAGTGTAGTCTTCTTACCTCCATGGGTATGCTTTATGAACAGTGTATGATCTGCTTAGCATTGGATGTACCCATTAGATTTCATCGTCTTGCCAAAATTGTCAAACCAAGCCCTTGGAGATTATTTGAGATAGTAAACTGGCTTTTTTAGCTTACAAATAAGATGTTTATTTGAGTCATTTTTCAGTCATGGTGAGATTTTCATATACACTTCTTTCTCAAGTTCTCCATTCAAGAATGCTTTCTTAATATCAAGTTGATGCACTTCTCACTCTTTATTCACTGTGAAGGAAAAAAGAGCAAATGTCTCTTGTTAGTCTATCCAATAAGACTAAGTGAACTTTTTGGCCACCAACCTAGTTTTGAACCTCTCAATGCTCTCATCTAGTTTGTACTTGACATTAAACGTTGATTTGCACTGAACCTGTCTTTTGTAGAGAAAATTTTGCAAAGATCTATGCACCATTTAGGTTAGGTGTTTGGATGCCCTCTTTAATTACCTTTTCCATTCTGGACTTTAAAGTGCTTCATGAACGAACTTTGGGTATCTGTACACTATCAAGATTTGATACAAATATTTTGTGAGTTGATAACAACTTCTCATATACAACACAATCCTAGATATGATAATCCGTGCAACTTTCACTGTCTCCTCTTCTTGATTCAATCTCCCTTAGATCTTCAAAGATTTGTGAATTAATGTTTGGTTATGGACAGTCCTGTGGTTGCATAGTGTTTTTATCCTTCGTAGTAATTTCTTTCTCCTAGTATACACATGAAATTCTTGTTGTCATTCTTAATTTGGAGATTTTTAGCAGGTGGTACTTGAGAGAAGAGGGTTAGAGAGAAAAGTATAATAGGTTGTGTTGACTCTAGATCAGTGTGGGTATTCAAAGTAGTGTAGGAAAGTGGAATAAGTTGTGATGACTCTAGAGTAGTGTCTTAAGTCTGATATTCACTCCGACTCTCCTTTTGAATATCCGATTTGTAGTAAGGTTGATTTTCAAAGAAGGTAACATTCATGAAGTTATAATATTTTCATATAATGAATACCCAAGAAATATACCTTTGATAGAATTTGGGTTAAGCTTTACGCGGTTTCGTTAGTGAATTTGAACAAAAGAAATACTAAAATATTTTTAGGGGAAGATTGGATGAGAAGACTCTGATATGACGGTATTTTTCATCACACTATCGAGAGTGGCTTTGAATCTAATGACTCTGCTTGGCGTTCAATTAGTGAGGTTGGTGGATGTGAACACCTCTCCATATAAAGCTTTTGAGACATTATGAGAAAGCATTATATACATAGGTAACTTGAGGAGGTGTTTATTCTTCCTCAAAGCTATCTCATTTTATTGTGGAGTTTTTATATAGAATATATCATTCTTTGTAAGTTGGGGTCCGAAGATATAATAGAAGTTTTCCCTTGCATTATGGGTTTTGAGAATATAAATTTTTGCATTGGAATTATGTGGAAATCATGTTATGGAAGGATTGAAAAATTTGCGTAGTTTTAGATTTTTCGTTCATGAGGAATATCTAGGGCTGTCAATTTGGCTCGTTGTTCGCGAACAGCTCGTGTTCGGCTCGTTAAGCAGCTCGTGTTCGGCTCGTTCGTTAAGCCTAACGAGCCGAACACGAACAAATTTTTAAGCTCGAAATGTAAA